GCGCCTGCCACACTGTGCGAGGCCGCAACGGATAGGGAGACCACCCCCCGCGCACCCCCTGGGTGTCGAGGAAGTGCCACGCCTGCCACGCATTGCGAATCCGCAACGGATAGGGAGACCACCCCCAGCGCACCCCCTGTGGTGCCGAGGAAGTGCCACGCCTGCCACGCATTGCGAGGCCGCAACGGATAGGGAGACCACCCCCAGCGCACCCCCTGTGGTGTCGAGGAAGTGCCACGCCTGCCACGCTTTGCGAATCCGCAACGGATAGGGAGACCACCCCCCGCGCACCCCCTGTGGTGTCGAGGAAGTGCCACGCCTGCCACGCCCTGCGAGCCCGCAACGGATAGGGAGACCACCCCCAGCGCCCCCCCGTGGTGTCGAGGAAGTGCCACGCCTGCCACGCATGGCGAGGCCGCAACGGATAGGGAGGCGACCCCCAGCGCACCTCCTGTGGTGTCGAGGAAGTGCCACGCCTGCCACGCTTTGCGAGCCCGCAACGGGTAGGGAGACCCCCCCCCCAGCGCACCCCCTGTGGTGCCGATGACATCCCACGCCTGCCACGCCCTGCGAGCCTGCAACGCATAGCGCCCGAACCCCCAGCGCACCCCTATGGTGTCCAGAAAGTGCCACGCCTGCTAGGCTTTGCGACAGTGTCGTGGATAGCGGCCGCACTGAGAGACCACCCCCTTCGCACCCCCTATGGTGTCCAGAAAGTGCCACGCCTGGTATGCCTGGACGACTGGGGCGTGCTGTGCTGTGCTGGCCTGTGCTGCGGTCTGCTGTGCTGTGCTGTGCTGTGCTGTGCTATGCAGTGTGTGCGGTGTGCTGTGTGTGCTTGTGTGTTTGTGTGTATGTGTGTATGTGTGTATGTGTATGTATGTGTATGTGTGTGCTGTGCTGTGCTGTGCTGTATGCTGTGTGTGTGTGTGTGTGTGCTTTTGTGTTTGTCTGTATGTGTGTATGTGTGTATGTGTGTATGTGTGTGCTTTGATGTGCTGTGCTGTGCTGTGCTGTGGGTGAGGGAGGAAGGAAAAGGAGGAGGAGGAGGAGAAGGAGGAGAAGGAGGAGGTGAGTCGCGGGCGCGGCGCGGGCGCGGCGCGGCAGAGAAGAAAACCAGAACCCCACCAAGCATGTGGGGAAAAATTGGAGCGGCCGGCCCTTTGCAGTTTTCGGCCTTCGGGGGCCCTCGCAGGGCTTCGGGACCGTCAGCAAAACAAGCCAGGACGATAAACTGGCGCTAGAGAAGTGGTCCAGACCTCCAGGGCCCACGCATCGAAAAAATGGAGTTGCCAGATTTCGGGGGGTTCCAGAACCAGCAGCAGGGCAAGCAGAAGTGCAAGGCACGTCGCGGCTTTGTTCTTGCATCCCCAGGGGATCCGCAACCGCGTGCGCGCAGCGTCGCGCACGCGTGATGCACGGCACCCACAACGACGTCTGACCGCTCGCTTGGGGTGGCTTCGCGAGCAGAGTTTTTTTTGGGCAACTCCAGTTCGGAATACATTTTCTCGCTGAGTGTACCTTTCTCTCTGTTTCTCTCTCTCTCTCTCTCTTCCTGCCGCGCGGCCAGCATGTATGTAAAGATGACGCTGGGGATGCAGCCTCAGCTTAGCCTTGGGTATCCATGCAGATCCCACAGTATGATTGCCACTTCGGTGTAACATCGTATCGCGAGGGTGTATCTTCATGTTGGTGTCCGCGGAGCTGTCGTCGGTCCTTCAGTTGAAATTGGAGATCCGTAGCAATATCGGCATTGTTCGACGTACAACCTCGCGATCCAAAGCGGCCGTCGCTTTGATCATGCCACGTGACTTTTGTGCTGACCGCTGCTCGGTCCGCATACGAATCTCATTCAGCACCGTGGATGCTTAGAGCCCAAACCTGGTTCCCAGTGACGCTAGCCCTGGCAGTTCTGTCTGGATTCATGTTGAAACGCCGTGACCTGCACCGCCAACGATCATGGCCATCATATTCCGATGAGAGCAAGCATGCTGCCGCTCTGTCCAATAACGTGAGCTGGTTTGTGTGTTTGTGTGTGTGTGTGTGAGGTTCGTGCAACATCCGAGTACGTGAGCTCGAAATGGAAACTGCTCAAGTTGAGCCAACGGAGTTGGGAACGGAGAGGGCACTCGTTGCAATCATGTGGTCCTCACATGGTATTTGGGAAATCAAAGCACTTGAGTGGAAGATGAAGGGGCATTGGAAGATGAGGCCTTGAACTCGAACTCAAGATATCTTCCAGGTGCGTTCAATGGGGAATGGAGAATCACACTCTCGCTTCTGGTCTTCCGCCTTATGGCTGTAAAGGCAGGTGTTCCATGTTCTAGTTGAGCATGGGCGACTTTGCGAGCGTGGCCTCATCTGGCGTGATCATGCAAACACCTTCGGCGCTTGGGGTTTTCTTGCGGGCCTCTTGGGGGCCTGCTGGGGGCCGGTTGAAGTTCCGTTGGGGTCTCTGCGCCGTCTCGGGCGTGGTGTTTCCACGAAGCTCTCCCGAAGGGGCTCCGTTTCATTTTTGGAATGTATATATGGGCTGGTCTTGGGGCCGTCTTGGAGCCCTCCTTGGGCCATCCTGTAGTATTCTCGGACGGAATTGAGCCTATCTTCTTCTTCTGACTCCGAAAGGGCGGACCCCCATTCGCAGGCAAAGGAACTTATCACCCCCTATCCACTCAGCAACCGCCGCCGCTCAAAATCAATCCCTGGACCCCTCCTGGGGTTCGTGTGGTGCCGTTTGGGGCCTTTTTTGGGTAGTCTTGGGCGTCTTGGGGGTCTTCCTGGGGCTCTTTGAAGCTTTCCCGAGGTGGTCTGAATCTGATAAGCCTCGGAAGCAAACATCAATGATGTCGATGATGTTTTTTATGTGCGTGTGTGTGTGTGTGTGTGTGTGTGTGTGTGTGTGTGTGTGTGTGTGTTTGTGTTTCGCCTCTTAGGGCTATGCTGGAGGCCTCTAGGTAGTCTCTTCAGGGCTTCTTGTGGCCTACTGGGGCATCTCGGGGAAATCTTCAAGCCTTTTGGGAGTTGACTGGGCGGTCTTTGGGTGGTCTTGTGGAGTCTTGTAGCCGTTTCGGGTGTGGCTCTCTTGGAGTAGTCGAGTCCATGCCGAAAAGGGCGCCTGGAATTAAAGCGAAGTCATCGAGAACAAAATAACCCCTAACCCTAATAACACGCTAAAGACGTTTGGGATAATACATTTGGGCGGTTGGGCTTGAGACATCTGCAGAATAGACCCCCTATCCCTAATGTCTTCGGCCCTCCTAACTTAGGTCACCTCCCAAAAGGTTACGGGTACTCTTATTGCTTACCACGAAGGGGTCGTTTTCGGAGGACGCGCGCGATAAGGGGTGGGTCCAGCTTTGGGAGCATGCCGAAATTCTACCAAATGGCAGACAAGCGTCTTAACACGGCCCAGCGTACAGTAGGAACAGATGCGGATCTCCCTCGCCTGGCATGGGTGTTGCCAGGCGTGGAGCTGTCATTTTGCTGTGTCTTGTGGGTCTCCAGCGCAACGGCGTCTTGCGTGGGCGCAGAATGAGACCTCCGCTCCACTGGTGTTCTGCCGGGTGCCGCCGGGGGAAAGAGACCAGGACATCGAAACTCATCCCGACCTGGAATCGTTCGTCGAAGATTCGGGTTTTGAGCACGTCGTCATCATCATGGTCCTTCTCTCTTCGCCACAGCTCCCGTCCCTCTTGATCCTCCTTGTCCCCCCCCATCGCTCTCTCCTCTCGCGGCTTCTCCATCCCCTCCTCCGTGACTCTCTCTCCTCGCCCTCTTGCTCGTCGCCCCCCCTCCCCCGCCCCTGCCGCCGTATCTTCCCTAAGGTGTTGCCTCACGGGGGCCCCGTGGGGCGTGCGCTGCCCGTACAGCTTTCTCGTGGGGTCTGCGGCCTCTTCGACTCGGCGCTCGTTCGAGATGGGCCCGCCGCCGTCGCCGCTTCCTCACAGACGGGGCTGGGCATGGTCCCCGGGGCAGCTCGCCCGATCCTTTCCATCTGCTGTGCGACTGGGCTGCGGTAGGACGTGCTGGGACAGTCCGGGGGGCATCTTGGGGCTGCCTCGGGCCGTGCGAGCCTTGTCCTGGAGCGCATTTGGGCCCAGCTTGGAGGCTGCTTTGGACCTATCTTGGGCCGTCCCGGGCCTGCATGTGGGGCTGTCTTATGCCGCCAGGAGGAGGCGGAGTTTACGAAAGCTGCACCGCTAAGACGATTGTACCATTGATGTATGGGTTCCCCGGGGGGCCTCTCAGGGACCTATCTCCTTGGGGGGACCAGACCTCTTGATGGCCGTCTTGAGATCCTCTTGCGGCATGTGTGAGCGCCGTGTGCCCTTACGACGTTGCTGGAGAGATCTGAAGAGAGGCCGACCGCGAGCTGATCAGAGCCTCTTGAGCGACTCTGCGAGCTCTCTCGGCACCGCTCGAAGCTCGGCACACCCTGCGGTAAACCCAGCTGTCCTCAGTATTTTGGGGTGTTCGCCATCGACCAAATACGTAGTCGCTCTTGCGCATCGGCAGTGCAGTTTCTGCTTCGGCCCCTTTCTGTGCGCGAACCTCCAGATTCGTCTCTCCGGCAGCTACGGTGGAGACCCATGCCAAGAAACACCCTGCTTGCCTCCAGGGTGCCCTGGGTTTCCTGGGTTTCGATGGTTTTGCTATGGGAAGTGTGACGTTCGCACATCTAAAACCAAGGGACGTTCTGGAGTCTCAGGGTTGGGTTTCTTGTGGAAGGTTTCTTGTGGTCGGGCCCCTACTGTACATTCGCGGCCAGAGTCCTCATCCCATCACCGTCACACGTAGCATCCTGGCCCAAAGTATTACGACCATCGTACCATCCCATTAACATCACCCCTTAACCATTGTTGTTGCTGCTGTTGCTGTTGCTGCTGATCTTCCAATTGTTCATGCTTTGCGGTTCCATAGCCTTTTAACTCAAGGGCGGGACCCATTGTTCCGATATATACATATTCCATAAACCTACGTATTTTGTTGCTTCGTCAGGTATGGCTGACGCTGTAGCTACCATCTCGCACAGCGTGGCAGACTTAAGCCAGATTGACATTAATGTGTTCGCTACGTCTCTTTGCATGGTTGGGGTTGCCGAGCTTTTCGATAAGACCTGGTTCATGGGCCTGATTCTAGCGTTCCGCTACTCGCCGGCCTCTGTCTTCGTCGGGTCCTTCGCTGCTCTATTTCTCCATACCATTCTCGCTGCTGCTTTCGGCTATGCGTTTGCCATGCTGCTCCGGCCGCACGTGCTCGACCTCCTAGCGGCCAGCCTGTTCCTGATATTTGCAGTCATGTACTCCAGGGACAGCTACCAGGCGGACTCGGACAGCGACATGATCGCCAGCGGGAGGGCTCGGTAGCAAATCATGGGAGCCTGGTATACCCTCTTAATTTTGTCTTTAGCGTTCACCAGCGTCGCTTAGCGTCTGGGAGTAGACGAGATGGCGCCGATTTCGCGTCGATTGGCGTCGATTAGCGTCGACTTAGCGTCGATCAGCGTCGATTCAGCGTCGACCAGCGTCGATTCGCAAGAGCCGACAAGATGGTATGGGAGGCTCCCGTGAGTTGCCGCCGAAGGAGGGAGGAGGCGGCCGAGGACATGGGCGAGGAGGAGCCGGCGGACGAGGTCTTGCCGACCTACGGTGCCGCCAGCGGCAAGGGCCTGCCGAAGCGGGCGCGCTCCCAGGCCGGGGCAGTCCTGAAGGCCTTCGTCGCGGTGTTCATCGCCGAGTGGGGGGACCGCACGCAGGTCGCCATGATCGGGCAGCACGCCTCGCAGCCGCTGGTCCCCGTGTTCCTCGGCTCGTGCGTGGCCCCCCGGGGGCAACGTCGGGGGGGCTGAGCTCCGGGGGGGACGCATCGACCCCCAATCGCCCATGCATCGCCGATGTGGGGGCCCGATAGCGCTCCCCTACCAGGACCGTGCATATTCGCTATCGGTGTTCTATCGCCGATCCAGCGGCGACGTACCGCCGATTCCAGGTAGATATGTTCCTCCCTGCGCTGGTCCCCCTCTAACGTCGCCCCTCAGGCCTTCTTCCTCCTGACTCTCTCGGCGGTCGGGGCTGCCAGCATGCTGAGTGGACACAAGATCAGCGAGCGCCTGGTATTCGGCGTGAGCGCGACTTGCTTCTATGTGTTCGCCGCGCTCTCTTTGAGGGACGCGCTGGTAGTCATGCACGGGCACGGCAAGGCCTGATCCTGGCGGGCTGCGCGCCACGTATGTAGTTCTGTTCTCAATGTCGAGGCTCCATTCTTGCTCATTTGCTGACTGTACTTACGTTGAGGGTACTGCCTCGACGTCGCGATGGAACGAGGCCACATAGTCTTGACAACGTCTGCAGTTCCAGTTTCATCGTCATGGACGTTCTGTGCGATGGGCACTATGTGGGTGTCGCCAGTTATACATCCAGTGCCAGGCCACCTTTGCAGACATGCCTAAGCTGAGCAACACGCAAGGTGATGATGTAGACGTGCACTACGCCAGAGAAACATCCGTTTAGTGTGTTTCCTGGAAGATTCGCAGGCATTTCAAGGTTTTGTTGTTGTTGTTGTTGTTGTTGCTGTTTCTCTCTCGTTACTCTGTTTACTTTCTCTGACCCCTCAACTCGCTCCGCACTTTGTTACATACTCTCTAATACACGTTACATATATATATTTATCTGTTATACTCGACTCTGCTTTCTGCTCCCTGAAACGTATTCTCTCGTCTGTATCCAGCTGTCTGCGGCAACCCCCCACCGTGCCTGCGCAACAACGTGGCAGGAATGCTGCGTGTAGGAACTGCGCAATTCCGACGAGAAGTCTTCATTGGGGCGGGTCGTGATCCCGACCTCGCCTTCGTCCGAGCGGTAGGAAGGAGGATGAGGATGAGGATGAGGATGAGGATGAGGATGAGGATGAGGAGGAGGAGGAGGAGGAGGAGGAGCGCGTGGAGGAGGAGGATGAGGAGGAGGAGCAGGAGGATGAGGAGAAGGAGGAGGATGAGGAGGAGGAGGAGGGAAGAGTAGGAGGAGGGAGGAGGAGGAGCAGGATGAGCAGGAGGAGGATGAGGAGGAGGAGGAGGATGAGGAGGAGGAGGAGGATGATGAGGAGGAGGAGTTGGAGAAGGAGGAGGAGGAGGAGGAGGAGGAGGAGGGGGAGGACAAGCTAGGTGCGCTCGCGTCATATCCGACGTCTTACTCCTCTCTCCCATCTCTTGTCATGGCGTAGATCTCCTCTATATTCGCACAGTCGGATGTCGTAGCATGGCATAGCATTACATGGCATAGCATGGTGTTGAAGATCAACGGGTGGCATGACATAGCATGGCGTGGCGACGCCCCAAAGTGGGGGTTATGCGGCCAAAAAAAAAACGAATCGACACCGAATGTGGAATCACTTCTGATGTTTTTTTTCGGGGGGCCATTTTTTAGATTTTGGGGCCTATTTGGAAGGACCAGAAACCATGCCGTGGCATGGCACTGCAAATAATGACGCCAGCGCCGCAGCGGGAACACGATTCCGAACATGCGGAAGCGCGGAAATGAAGCCAGCGTTGCAGCGAGAACACGATTCGGAATGAGCGGAAGTGCGGAAATGAGGCCAGCGCTGCAGCGGGAGCACGATTCGGAGCGAACGGAAGCCCGAAAATGAGGCCAGCGCGTCAGCGTGAGCAACACTTGGAAACAAACCACAGCGAAAACCCTCTTCCCGGAAACCCTGTGTGAAAAAACAGTACGCGGAGAGTGGGCGGATTTTGTCCTGATGTCATCAGGGGAGGGAGGATAATTGTATTCATATTGTGTAGTAGTTGTTGTTGTTGTTGTTGTTGTTGTTGTTGTTGTTGTTGTTGTTGTTGTTGTTGTTGTTGTCGTTGTTGTTGTTGTTGTTGTTGTTGTGGTTGTTGTTGTTGTTGTTGTTGTTGTTGTTGTTGTTGTTGTTGTTGTTGTTGTTGTTGTTGTTGTTCAGGAGGAGGAGGAGAAGGAGGAGGGAGAAGGGAGGAGGGAGGAGGAGGGAGGAGGGAGGAAGAAGAGGAGGAGGAGGAGGAGCAGGAGGAGGATGAGGAGGGTGAGGATGAGGAGGAGAAGGAGGAGCAGGAGGAGGAGGAGGAGGGGAAGGCTTCCTGAGGCCTTTTGAGGGCCTCTTGGGCGCTTCCTGGAAGCTTCCTGCAGGCTTCTTGGGGGCCTCTTTGGGGCCTCATGGGGCCTAGCGAGATCGACGCGTGCGAGGCCGAGGCCCACGCTTGGCTCGCATTTCTGGGCAAGTGATGAGATCTGATTGTGAGCAGTCGGATTGCAGCGTGACATGGGCGCTCGATTGGCATGAGTGCTTGGCGTATTTTTTGGTCGATTTGATTGTGAGCCGTTAGATTGACATGTCGCATTTGGCATGAGTACTAGGCGTGAGCCTTGCAGCACAGGGGGGTGCTCCCTGCAGAACCCGCAGGCGCCTCTTGGGTACCAACTCAAAAAAACCTGTTGGGGCCTCTTTTGCCGTGTTAGGGGATTCTTGGCCCGTCTGACGCCCATGGAGGCCGCCTTTGGGGCCTCTCTGGGCCGTCTTGTTGCTCTCTTGGAGCGCTTCAAGGCCGTCTTGGAGGCCTCTTGGGAGCTTCTTGGGCAATCTTTGGGTCCTCTTGGCCCGACTTGGGGCCCTCTTGGGGGCCTCTTGGGCTGTCTCGGACGGAACTATCTTGGAGGCCTCATGGAGGCTTCTTGGGCCGTCTTGGGCGGTCGGGAACCCGAACAGGCGAGAGCCTCAACATCTCCCCAAACCCTTGGGGCAGTCAATGGTTTTGACCTCCTCGGGCTCTCCAGGAGGACCTCTTGGAGCCCTCTTGGGCTGGCTTGGGGGCTTCTTGATCTGTCTTGAGGCTGTCTCGGGAGCCTCTTGAGCCGTCTTGGGCCATCTTGGTGTCATCTTGGCTGCCTTGAAGCCGTACTGGAGGCCATAAGGCTGCGAGCAATTAAGAGAGCGAACAATCTTAATTGATTGTTGGTGCTGTTGCTGTTGCTGTTGTTGCTGCAGTTGTTGCTGCTGTTGTTGTTGCGGTTGTAGTTGTTGGCGTTGCTGTTGTTGTTGTTGTTGAACATTATTTATTCTAAAGAATAATTATTGTTGGGCCCCCTGGTGCGCGCCCCCCCTGCGCCGCCTAGGCCGCAGCTACATTTTCATCATTTTCGTGAGGAAGCCTCAGAAAAGAGGGTGTGTACAGGATCCGGTTGTTTTGTTGTAATCCGCTTTCCCTTGCAAAAAACAATAGAAAATGACATTTCTTGTTCTAATATAATCAAATTTCAAGAATCCCTTGCAAAAAATAAGGTAAAGTGGACATTCGCGCGCGCAAGACGAAATCCTTCCAAAACCTTAGTGTTCGCAGCGATTTTAACATAAAAACATCAAAACACCAATGGTTTTTCAACACAAAAATGTCAAAATCTCATCCCGCGCGCTCTTGCGGATTCGTAGGAAACCCAACACTTTTTAAACATTTCTGTCAAACGGGCTTTTGCGAGCAACTTTTTCGAACTTCTGCGACAACGGTTGCGCACCTGCCAGGGCCATCATCCCTGTCAAATAATACCATGCGGGACACATTCGTTTTTTCTTCGCGCGCAATACAACGTAACAACTGCATTGTATGAACAACAGATGTTCTGTGGAAGGCTTAACAACTTCTGTGGGTTAACAAGGCTTAACAACTTCTGTGGGTGTACGAACGTAGGCTTAACAACTTCTGTGGGTGTGTACTCCACGCCAGTGTAGTAGCCACGGTCGTCCGCAGGCCACGAAGTGAAGTGTCCGAACGTCATAGGGCGGGAAGCTGGGTGTGGGTGGTGGCGAAGAGTCGTGTGGATATTTGGTAGAGCTTGCACTGCCCCCCCACAAAGTGGGGGTATTGGCTGGCGTCGCATGAAAACCCTGGCACTGGTGAGAACACTGAGCGTTCGGGTAAAGTGATTGTTGTTGTTGTTGTTGTTGTTGTTGTTGTAGTAGAGCTCTCATTTCTGAAGATAAGTATTGTTGATCCCCCCGCCCAGTGCACATTGTTTTTTTTTCGATTGAAGTGTCTCCCGGAGCTCGCACCATGCTTTTTTATCAGGGAAAGTTTTGTGGGTCAAACTGTGTTGTTGGCCCCCGGTTTACGACAACACCAACAACGGCTCCCGCCTGACATGTCTTCACAATTTATTGAAGAATCGCGCTCTCGTATGGGACTTTCTGACAATGTACCACCGAATCGCGGCGCCCGCCTGATACCTCCTCAGAATTTATTGCAGTATCGCGTTCTCGCTTTGGACTTCCTCGCAACTTACCACCGCATCGCGGCTCCCGCTTGATATTTCTTGACAATTTATTCAGATGCCCAGATGCCGTTCCTCGACACTCAGGAATCGCGCTCCCGCTACATATTGTCTGGCGGTTCTAGCAGGACTCAAGCTTCAACGACCCGCCCGCTCAACCCGCCCGTCGGGGCCTGCCCGCCCGACCAGCCCGTTAAGGACTGCAGTCGCCGCTCGCTGCCCTTCCTTCGCCCGCCTTCGATGCCCCTCGCTGCCCGTACTGGTTCCGCGGTCGCCTTCGCTCGCTGCCTTTCGTGGCCCCGTTGCTGCCCACAGTGGCCCCGTCGCTGCCCTTTGTGGCCCCGCATTCTATGCCCTTCGTGGTCGCCCTTCGTGGCCCCCTCGCTGCCCTTCGTGGCCCTTTTGCTGCCCTCAGTGGCCCCGCTGTCGCCCTTTGTGGCCCCGTATATGAATGCCCTTCGTGGCCCCCGCTCGTTCACGCCCGTCGTGTCCCCATATGCATGCCCTTCGTGGCCCCGCTGTCGCCCTTTGTGGCCCTCTCGCTGCCCTTCGTGGCCCCAGTGCTGCCTTCGGCGGCCCCGTCGCTGCCTTTTGTGGCCCCGCATTATATGCCCTTCGTGGCCCCAGGTCGTTCGCGCCTTCGCATGCCCTTCGTGGCCCCGCTGTCGCCCTTCGTGGCCCCCTCGCTGCCCTTCGTGGCCCCTTTGCTGCCCTCAGTGGCCCCGCTGTCGCCCTTTGTGGCCCCATATATGCATGCCCTTCGTGGCCCACGGTCGTTCGCGCCCGTCCTGGCCCCATATGCATGCTCTTCGTGGCCGCGCTGTCGCCCTTCGTGGCCCCCTCGCTGCCCTTCGTGGCCCCGTTTCTGCTCTCAGTGGCCCCGTCCTTGCCCTCTGCGGCCCCATATACGTAT